CTATATATATATATATATATATATATATATATATATCAAATATAGCATGAACTTAATTTTTAAAAAGTCAGAACATTTTAATGGGTAGATTGTGGTGCTTACTGAGTTTTTATCACCGTGATACCAGCTTTCACAGCCAAGGAGAAAGGAGACGCAAGGTCGAAATCGTAGAATCCAAGTAGGACATAGTGGAAACGCTTCATGATCCACTTTTCAGTCAATTCGTTCTCCTCCTAAAATATAAATTTATACAAGATAAATAAGCACAATCGAAAAGAGTGATTAAGTTTCATTGTTTGTTCTTCTTAATAAGGAAATATACACATATTGTAAGATGTAAGCAAACAAAATTGACCTAAGTAAAGGAAACTTAATATAACATCCGTTTCTGATCATAAAGTGGCTCCAATAGTTATTCCGTGATTTTGGATAGCTTTTCCTCAAAATATAGTTATTCCAAATAGGTTTTGTAGCTGTTGATACATTCATAAAATAATGCTAATCAGGATAATAAAAAAATCGATAATTATGTACTATAAATGCCTTATGTCTTCCCGACACCGAACGAATGCCGATTATATTAATATACACGGCTATATAAGAAATACAATATTAAAATTAATCTTTATAGGCTACTTACTGCTTTTGCCATGAGCTCCTCAGGAGTCCGCATAGCCAAAAGTATCATAGCTTGGCCGAGTTTGACGGCACGATAATCGTCCGGCTGTCTGACCCCACTCATATACTTACGGGCATGTCTGCAGATAGAAATAAAAAAGATAAACTTTTTGAAAATGTATCAGCTTTATATATGTGTAATAATTTCCGTGTAAAATAGCCCTAAAGTGAGCAGTATTCTTGTATACCCAGTTTAAATGCTGATCATATACGTGTCAAATTTCATGGAAGATGAAATAAAATAGTAATGAAAATTTTTTCCAAATAAAAATGGCCTTAATCAACTTCCTGAAAGAATGCTTTACTTGGAGGCATCCTGAATTGCATAATTCCAAACAATCACCAGCATATCATTAATTATCCCCAAACCATATTCACTTATTTAAATGACTTTCAGGGATAAATACTCTAATTATAAGCATCTTACCATCAGCAGATGATCTCAAAACGCAATCAGACACCTCTTGGATGCATATATTCATAGATAAAGTTGTAATTGTACGAGCATGTAAAAATAAGGTGCAAAAAATTGGTAGGATAGTTATAGTTAATAACTTACTGAATCGCCTCAACTCGTTTGCCCTCTCTTACAAGCAAGTAAAACTCAAAAACGCGGAGATCAAACTCAAAATAGCAATGCTGAAACAAATTAATTAAAAAGGGATGTAAATAATCAAAGGATTCACATCATATAAAATAAAGTAAGTAATGAGAAATAGGCTAAAACAGAAAGAGTACTTGCATCTGGTGAGTTAAAAACTTTTTTGTTGATTTTTCCCACAAGCAAATGTATAGGCTTCCCGATATCGTTGGATATCACTCAGCCATAACACCAAATAAGATTTCATATCCAGGTTGGACAGGATTTGATACCAGGTCAATATCGATGAGTTGCAAGTCCAGTACACAGAAACACGGTTGCAAGTCCGTCACAGGGCCATGTGACATTTAAGGCAAATCGATTAAGTAAAAGTGTATTTGATATTGTAATCAACGAACTTATTTATTTTGTGTGGTCTTAGTCTCCTTTAGTTGTATAGAAGTTGTTTGACCTTGTTTTCCCAACTTGGTCATATTGGTAGGAAGACCGGAGTGCATTGTATGCATGATAATTTCCAGTTGGACCGTGGACATGGTACATCCCCAGACGTTTCGCCGGCATGGTCAGTGAGTCTTGCCATCTTTACAAGCTTTTTGTTTTCCTCTACACTGAAGGACAGGGCGATATGCCTCATTAACATAATGGGGACCACATAAGCAGAATCTTGTCCATAGCAGGAGCTTAATAATAGATAAGATAGCTTTCTTAAAAAAAATAACGCCTCGAGTTTCACAGACGGTGTTGCAGAGGTCGAGTGAAATACTTGAACCAGGGCGATAGCAGACGGATCCTACGGGGCAAGAGGGAGACTCTGATAATACCTATGGAAGGAGGAATGCTTAATAATATGGCAGACTCTGATCAACATTCAAGCATAAGGATGAAGGGCGGTGTGAACGCCAGCGTGGAATGTGGAAGGTTCTCATGGAAGCCGCTCAAAAGGGCACATTGCATTTAAATATGCACGATAAGTGTCTTATCAACACCCCCAGCGGGAGTCAAACCATGACAGTGCAGCATGTGAGCTCGAGACGTTAACCACTCGGCCACATTGCCACGAGTGCCCTTGGGTCACAGGGCAGATGTGAATTTCAAGAAAGGCTAGGCCTTTTTCCATATCACATTCTTTGGTGGGATAGTCGATGAAGCAAGCGTACTTTTGCTATAACAATCGACTACATTACTTAATTTCTGTATACAATTAGTGTCGAGACTACTAGTAAATCAATTATAAGAGATGTATTCACCTTATTTTGCTTAAGGTGATGAAGGACTGATAGTAAGAATAGGGTGAATACATCTCATATAACTGATCTACTGGTAGTCTCGAAACTACTTATATACGAAAATTAAGTAATGTAGTCGATTATTATAGCAAAAATACTTTTGCTTCATTAACGATCCCACCAAAGAAAGTGATATGGGAAAAGGCTTGGCCTTCCTTGAAATTCGCATCTACCTTGTAACCTAAGGTCACTCGTGGCCGAGTGGTTAACGTGTCAAGCTCATATGCTGCACTGTCACAGTTCGACTCCCGCTAGGGGTGTTGATAAGACCTATGCGAGGTCGAAACTGCAGTTTGGGAAAGCAAGGCTATGTGAAATTCAATGGAAACGTCAGCTCTAATCATAAAAGTGAGAAAATTATGCTACCAGCCCTTCATCACTTTAAACGAAATAGCGTGAATATATCCCATAGAAAAGATTTATTTTAACTAACCGGTAAGATTGAGCTTGATTATAGTCAAGACCACAGAAAATTCAGGCTAAAGCGATTGAAAATCGGAAAGATATATAGGTATTTTAAAAGCCTCTATATGGATACGTGAAAGACTCAAAATACTTGTCTGTCAGTTAATTTCGCTTCAAGAATAGCATTTTATGACGTCAAGTAAAAAATCAAAAACAAAATTACCATAAAGTAAACACAAACGAACCAAGAAAGACAAGCGTCTTCATTGTAATTTTGAGTCCTTCAAAGGACTTTTAGAGGAAGTCAAGAAGAGGAAATTGCAATGAGGGATGTCAGACTTGGAATAAGCCTGAAGTTACCAGTATGGGTTCGCCTGTGGGTTAGGAAATTAAAGGCCACAAACATGCTAATTTTAGCTACGAAGAGAAACTGGGTTTCGATAAATCTCCTGAGATAACATTGTTAGAGGGACTTTCATTTCGTAACGATGGGATCTTGCCTGTCTCCCATCTTAGCGAGCAATTATATGGCAAAATTGGAGGAACGTTTTCTACAAGAAGTAATACTAACACCAAAATTGTTGGTTAGATACATGGATGACTATTTTGTCATCTGGCCTCATGCTAAGGATAATTTAGATAGA